ACAATCAAAATTTTGATCGTCTCTATGAAACAATCATTAAATAATTAAAAATCATGCTTATAGAAAAGTAATAAAGGTGCCAGTAAAAACTAATCCTTATCTAAATTTCCAAAATGTCAGGATAAAATATTTAATCTTTTGAAAATTTAGATGAGGAAAAAGATTTGGAAATAAATATCATCTATTTCATATTTCCTTATATTAATTGCTAGATATTTTTTTGTAGGATGTTATTGAACATTACTTATAACATAGATTAACATATAAGATTTAATAGAACTATATGTACTAATTATTAGTTAAAAGTCTATAAAGAAAACTAAAGAAACATCCATTTACTGTTTAATACAAAAATATATTGAAGTTGGTAGATATCAGTTTGAGTATTTCGCAAAATTAGTTTCATTCAATAATCTTTCCAATGTTGTTCCTTTAACATTTATTATATTCATATACATTTTTGCATTTTTCATAATCAAAGTCACATAAAAAGCAAACTATTATAAGTCATTGAATTGATTTTTATCTGAATTATTAAGTCAATATGGCAAAAATATGTGGTTACATATAAAAATATATTGATTACCTTGTAGTTCTTGAGAATAATATATACATAATTTTCTTCTTAGTTCTCATAGTTTTACCTTCAATATAAATGAAGTTTTTATATTATTTATTCTTAAATAATTTTGTATTATTTTTTCTTGTGATCAAAAACAAGTAAAATACTTAAGATGTTTAAGTTAAGTGAGATATCTTCTGTTCCATATAATCTTCATATATGTTTATGTACTATCATAGTTAAATGTAAATTAACTAAAATCAGTTTTTATTCTTTATAAAAAAAAATATCAAAGGATTTATGTTTTGAAATTAATAGTTCAAAAATGCTGATACATCAAAATAAAGAAAATTTTTAATTAATTACAAGACAAGTGTTTTAATATTCTTTGTTAGTCTAAAGCATGTATTTATTTTAAGCATATATAGTATATAATAATATTATTTATAACATTATATCTATATAGATATAATACTGTACTACATGCACTATGTAATATATAATATTATATGCACATAATATTTACTCTAAAGTTTTGCATATTCCCTCAAGTCAAATGAATAATATATATCAATGCCATACATTTTAAAAATAGTTTTCTTTCACAATGTACTCAAGACCATCTTGAATTTTTGAATAAAATAATATATTCTTTTTATTATACTGTAGAGAATAAAAAATTTGCATAGATCTTCTTATAGAGAATTGTGCAAAACTTTGGGGTGAATATTCTGTGCAAATATATATTATATACTTTCAGCTGTTCAAAAGTATATATGAATTATAGAGAAATACAGAAATACAGATATATGAGATGCGTCATGAAAATGATATAGTATAATAACAATAAAAGAAGTTGAGTGATTTAATAATTCCTTTTTTGTAGGATCTTCCTTTTTTAATATAAAAATACAAGGAGCAGTTGCATTCTTCCTTTTATTTTATTAAAAGAAAATTATCTTATCTTTTGTATAGTTTATGTATAAAATAAATTACTTCATTTAGTTGCTAAAAAGTAATTTACACAAATAGTCTATATCAATTGTATAACTTGCCTTATCTAATGTATACAATAATGTTCAAACCTTATTTACAAGTAAATTAAGTGTCTCTCATTTTCTTATTTATCTTAACGAAATAGGAAGGATAGAAATCATATTAGGTTTGTCAATCTCTTGTTGTATTCTCTTTTTTCATAATAACAATGCGTAAAAAGGAGTAAAACTGCGTAAAGAACTTGATACATGGATAGTACTGTTTTAAACACCATTAAATTTTTTCTTATTATGCCTTTTCTATCTTAACCATTTTAATGATAAACAAGTAAAAAATGTGGTGCATTATTATTTTCAATATTGTATCATATAGTATTGATAAATCTAAAAAATGAATTCCCTGTGGGTTTTTAAGGATAAGGTAAATTGCTTGGTGCATTCCCTATATAAATATGTATACAACAAGGAAATGTGCATCAAATATCCTCTTATTATAATGTTATCATATAAGTGTGGCGAATTTATTGGCGTTAAGTATAATAATATACATGTACACGGCAACGATACATATGAATCATATAGGACCATGTTTTGTGTATGTACATATAGTTATAAAAGCACATATAACAATGTGTAACATGACATGTAAATAACATAGAAACAAATATGACATTGTTGATGAAACTTCAAATTGAAAAAAAAAAGTGATTAGTGTATTATTATTAATATAATACATCATATAATAGTAATATTAAAAGAGACCTCATTTTATATGAAATATCATTAAATGGTCTCAGGATGTAATATATTAAAACTGAAAAAGATGTTTAGTCATTTGTTAGACATTTATCTATACATATATAATATTACAAGTAAATGTGCTCGTTCATTGCATTTCTTACAACGAAAATTTGAACATTACTGATTTTTCTTAAGTGCTTAAGCACTTAGAGATCTAACTAATCTCATTTTATTACATTACTGATTTTCCTTATTAGATTAATAACTTCAACTAATTTAAAAAATTTCGAAATTTTAAATAATATTTTGTCAATTTAATTATGTATCATTTTAAAATGTTTTAATTATACAGATTATACTTCTTATTTTAACAATTTCAATTTTATTTTCAATTTCAATTCAATTCAATTACAATTATTGACCAAAAATTGCCTAATCTTTTTGTAAATCATGTAACTCTAATAAATTGACATAAATATTTGTTTTATATACAAAATACATACATTTTATATCTTTGTATTATGTATTAATCAATAAGAAAAAACAAAGTATTATACTTGCTTAAATATTTTAATTTACATTTTAATTTATACTGAACATGTCAAAGTAACACTAATATTATGTTAAAATATAATACTACAATAAGTAATTAAATATTTTACAAATAGTTAAATATAGATTACTACATGTTTTGTTAAAAATTATAAAGTGCGATCTGATGGCTTTAAATATTCCATAAATATAATTAAATGTAAAAATTATATTCAATCTGTAAGCATGTATTATTAAAAATATTATTGTACGCTGTATCTATCCTTCGTGTAACGATAGGTACACATAAAAGCGAAGCGAACAGGTTGCAATCTTATTATATCACTAAATTATTTAAATTCGTAATTGATCACAATTTCTAAAAAAGATTTTCGTTCTCTCTCTCTCTCTTTCTCTCTTTCTCTCTTTTTTTTATGTATCTTTCATATATTTTGGTTACTATAACTAATCTATTCATTCCTACTGTACATAAAGTGTAACCGACATTCTTGAGGTTATAAAGTTATACACAGCAATAATAATAATACAATTACATCTGTGTCGTTAATCAATAAATGATCATTTATCTTTTATAAATTAAAAATGTGAATAACTTGCCTTTATCAGAATGCAACAATAATAATAATTAACATACAATTTAAAGATATGGCAACTATCAGTAGAACACAAATTGCGATAGAGAACGAGCATCGTGTACGATAATATTAATTTCAGACAATAAAATGTTATTATCGATGTTATTTTATGAGTTGTTTTCCATCTTTTTTACCTACATTCATTGGTTCAGAATCCGTTCAAGCAGTCGAGTCACTACACATTAACAAAACATACATGAGCTCCAAGCATGCAAGAGGCTAACAGCCACAGCTATTAGCTGGAATAAGCCGCTAGTTGTTAAACTCAGGGACGCCTCTATCTCTGAAACCATCTCATAGAGCGTGTCAAATCAATCCAATTTACATTTCCCTATTCATTTTTTGATTTTGATTTTTTCTTGTGTATATTTATATTTTTTGTACTGTTTTGTTGTATTTGTTATTATTTTTGTATTACAGTTTTGATGTATTTTTACATTATACGTTTCATTGTATATCTATATTATGATTTATATGCATTTATAATATACAATAAGTCACAACCAAAATCGTAAATCACATATCAAAAAGCGTTTCATTTCGTAAAAAAGTTCAAAAATGATTTAAAAAAAAGAATATTATAGGTACAAAATATATATATCTATATTTATTATATAGTAATATAAAAACCAATGAACTCCACTATTGAAAAAAGAATTACTAGGATTTAGTCTAGAAAACGTCTTACAATTAAAATGGTACGCTATTAATATCCTCATTATTCTTCGTGGGGAATTCCTGAAGATAAAGTAAAGTTATAAAACGTGTGAAAAATTATATTAATTAGCTTGCTACAATAAAAGCACAATTTGTGATTTGATATGGAGACAATTAAAAAGCTATATATCAAATGATACATTTATATTTGCTGATATGAAAAATTTATTTTTTGAATTGTTAGTTAAAATTATCAGACAATTGAAAAAATTGTGTTCAATATCTAATTTTAAAAGTTGAAAATAAATTTTTGAGAATTCTCATTATAAATATAGACGATAGTGACAAATACAATAGCTTAGAAACAAGCACAGAATCAAATTTTAAATAAGGAAATATTAACTGACTTTGTTGATTACGTTATTCATATCCACATTTACAAAGGATAATTCTTTTGTAATGATTATAACCAATTTAAAAATATCGCACTAAAAATTATATATACTATAACGTCCCTTTTCCTTTTCTTTTTTTTAACGTGGGAGCATCTTCTAAAAGTACCCCGTCCCCTCTTCCGGGAGGCCTGGGATTATGTGGGATTTTTATCCATTAAAACCCCCATGGTGATCATCGTTACGCTGGGGAGCACCGGAAACTCGAAACGAACATAACCGGCGCTCTCCAATGCACATTCCGGAGAATACCATAATGTTCGTGTTTCGTCTGAGCAATATCGCATGTGTTTGTTTATATTTGGCGACGCGATTCGTTGAATAGACGGTATATTTGATTAATAACTTTCTAGATTCAAAATACGAAAACAAATTATATTTTATTTAGCATTTGTATACAAAATTACTATTTGCAATGTACATTTAGTACACGAATTCGTTTAGCAGTTTTTGCGCGTAATAAGTTCTTTTGTTTTTCTTCTTCAAGAACATGTTTCAATTTTTCGATATGACTAGAGTAATCAACTTCATTTATGACAGAACTCAGATCTAATTTTTCAATATTTGGTACTGCTTTATGGGCATTACTCAACATATGTTTAAATATTCCAACTTGTTTAGATGTTAGTATAGATATTGCAGTACCAGATTTACCTGCACGTCCTGTTCTTCCTGCTCTGTGAATATATCCTTTAATATGTTTAGGAAGGTCATAAGATATGACTAATTGTACATCTGGAACATCTATTCCTCTTGCTAATGCATCTGAACATACAAGTCTGAAAATATAGTAAAAGAATAAAAAATATTATGATTTATTTTTGTAGTATTAAAATTCAATTTTTAATAATAAGATAAATAAAACGTACATTTGAGTACTGCCAGTAATGAATTTTTTAAGTACATTTTCACGTCCTTTTGATGAAAGTTGTGCTGAAAGTTCTCCAACTATTATATTTTTTTCAAATAGAAGTGACTGAAGTATAATAGCTAATCTATGAGCAGTTGCTCCAGAATTTGTAAATACTAATGTTTTAGAAGTCATATTGTTTCTAATTACTAATTGATATAAAGCTAATGGTTTGTATTCTATTGCACATTCTACTGCTTCTTCTATTAATTCTTCAGGACTTGTGTAACGGCCTATAAAATCACCTACTTCCTTATCTAAATCTACATCATCATCCTTGCCCGTTAACAAGACAGATGTAAATAATATTGGTTGAAAAAGTCCAAGGCGATTCAATTTTTCAGGATCTTGTGATAATGTTGCACTGAATAATAATTTTTGTGCTGGAATTTTGCTGTTTAGAAATTTGAAAATTAATAAAAATTTATTATTATATAAAATATAACTACTCATTAATATATACAATAAAAATATATTATTTCAGTAAATATTTATTATATAAGGAATTTACTAGAAACTAACCCAGAATGTAAATTAGAAAGTGTTAATCGCGGAGCTCGATAATGAGGCTCAGGAAGATATTGTAACCAATCTGCATCTTTATCTGCTTCATCAATAACAAGAAATTTAAGATCATCCAAAGAAAATCCTGGTGTTTTTAATATATGATCTATTAATCGTCCAGGCGTAGCAACCACTATATCTGCTAAAAATATACATTCTCCTCTAGCACCTATAAAAAATAATTTTTATTATATAAATAATGGAAGCATATTTTATTTTTGGGATGTATAAATATATACTTGTTTTCATAATGCTTTTTTGTTCTTCATTAAATGCAGAAGCACCAGAAAGTAAAACAACTCTTAAATTTGTATGTGATGTATATGTTAGCATCACTTTGTAAACTTGTGTAGCTAATTCTTGTACTGGTACAACAATTAAGCAACGTATTTTTGGAACCAATCGAGATTGTAATATTTGAACAATTGGCAGAGCATATGCTAAAGTTTTACCTAAAAAGAAATAAAAATTAAAAATGTTATTTTCCTTTAAAATATATCATTGTTAATTTATGACAATAAATTTATATGAATTTTATTTATGTGTTATTAATTACATTAATTTTACTAATGATGTTAACTTTCATTCATATTCATTTAAGCTATTTAAACTATTAGTAGGAGACCATTAGGTACCAAAATTATAATGTAAGTACTTCCTTATTTTATAAATAACGTATATATATTCATACCACTGCCTGTAGGAGCAGACACACACGTATCTTTTAACCACCACTTTTGTTGTCTATCTTCTTCACATTTCAATAGCCAATGAAGTATACTATCTTGAACAGGAAACAATTTATTGATACCATTAGCTCTTAAAATTTCAATAAGCTTACTATCTAAAATCGAATTTAATTCTTCTAAGTTTGGACCGGTGCTTAAATCAAGAGGTATAATTTTTGGATTAGCCAACCATTCTGGAAGTATTCTCTTAACTTCATGTTTTTTTTGCTTATTTTTAGAACCCAAAACTATAAAATCAGTTTGTTGATTTGGTACTTCATTATTCAGGTTATTTGTATTTTCACTTTGTGAGGTTTCATGTTTCATAAAATTTTCTTCATTGTAGACATCTTTCCTTTTTTTTTTCTTTTTTCTATAATCCTGCTCTGAAATATACTCTTCTTTCTTTGTTTCAACATTGATTAATGTAGTATTTTCACTTACATTAGTATTTGCTATTGGAGATTGATTAAATTTTTTCTTTTCCTTTTTTTTCTTTTTATGTTTTAATTCCTGCGCATTTTCAGAATTGCTTTTCTGTAATTCTCGATTATTTTTAAAAGCTCTTTCTTTCTTACGTTCTTCTATTCTTTTCAATAGTTCCGATAAATGATGCTTTTCATTTTTTGTTTCCTCTTCTTCGCCTTCATATCTATTGATGAATTATATCTATTAATATTAAAATTAAAAATTTAAATATAGTTAATAAAGTTATTTTCTTGTTTTTCCTTCTTAGACTTACCGGTTTATGACAAATAAACTCATACTGTTTGTTTTACACACGTGTCACAAATGTTTCATAGGTTATGTATAACAATTATTAATTTTTGAAATTTATAATGGACTAATATAATAATAAATTACTAGTATATTAATAATATAAACAAATAATGTTCGATTTAGCTCAGTATAATTTTATTTCTCGAGAATTATTTGAGATTTCAAAATTTAGATTCTAGAAATTCACATAATAATAATGACATAACCTATGAAAATATATTTGATATATGTATTTAACAATACGTAGTAAAAACTTCAAAATTAATTTATTTTTTTAATGAAACCATATATTTTATATATTTTTGTACAAACAAATTATTAATAATTTTTTCTAATAACATTCTAATAATGCCTTGTAAAGAATAAAAAATGTATTTGATTAATATATGTAATATGATTAATTAACATACAAAAACATAATGATATATTATAATAATAAAATAACTGTAACTAATGAAATTTTGCAATTTTTTAAATTCCTTTTATCTATATAAATTATTAGAATATAATAAACTCTTTGAAAGGTACATATCAAAAGACCCTTATTAATTTAATCACCTTTTCAAAAGAGGTAGAAAATACAGACTCCACGATAATGTAAGTCTTGCTTTTAACCATTAGAATGAATTATTACTTAAAAGTTCAAAAAAATTGACGAAAGTTACTTTTGATATGAACTTTTTAATGGTATTAGATGCATATTATATGTAGAGATATTGTAAAACAAATATTATATGTATATTACTTAAATAAGTTGTCATATTAAAATAATTAATTATTTATATACTTACTATTATTGAAATTTTATTGTATCTCATAAATATACAAAATTAAGGACAAAAATGAATAAAAACGTTATTATTCATTCCATCGTTAATAATAAGCACAGGAAAACAAATTAATAAAAAAGATAAAGGAAAATATATATAATTTTATAATACAGAAAACAGTATACAAATGGATAAAAAACCAAAGTTACCTTGCCTTCAAATGCCTTATTATGAAATTTTATTTAGAATATAAACTTTCATATAGCAGTTCCATAAATATTTACTTTTTACCATAGAATATTTAACACATATATATGTTTACGCACATGTAATGTATCATATTAGAAGTTTGAGCATTTTCTTACATTTTGTTTTGATTAAACTGTGTATACCCAATGTTAAAAAAATGTTCATATATCAACTTAGCTTTGTAACTTCCATTAATAAATATTGAAAGAAAATGTTAATGACAATAATAATAAATAAACTGTTCTAGAAAATATCAAACACATGAAGTTTGAAAATTGATATAAATAAGGAGAATAGCATTAGATTTATATTTTTAGATATTGAAATACAGCAGATAATATTTTATATTAATAGTAGCAATGAATATAAAATTTTATCAAATTACTTTATTATATTTGAAATATGTATTTCATTGAATTACAATTGTGGTAATGAACTACTACACATATGTGCGATTAACACATAATATCGATGCGTCATGAACTTTATATACGCACTTATTAACGTTCTATCACAAATACATTGATTCATGCAATACCTATGAATAGTGTGTATCATATAACTAACACATTAGTTGCAAATTTAATTCAAATGCATAAAATGAATCAGAAGGTTATTTCTTTTAGCTTACTAATTTTCGTCCAATTCAATTTCCTAAATGTATATTACTTATGTAAACAAATATATAGTATTTAAAACATATTTATTATTTAGATTTTTAACAATAACTATCTTTAATATGTGTATTATTTTATTAGATTAAAAGTGATAAAGCGAAGATGTGTATTATTTTATTTTATTTTAGGTTTCTAATTATTAAATTTGATACTTTTACATAAATTAATGAATTATAATATTTCAAAAATTATTGTTATTGAACAAAGTTAGAAAACTTATAAAAGTGTCTATTAATAACGGATATAGTGTATTAGAAATATTAAATTTCAAATAAAAAATGATTAAATTTTACATTAATTTTCAAATAAATAAAATGGATTGAATTTAGTAGGTAATAAACAAAATCGTAATTTATTTATTTATTTATTTATAATATTATATGATGTGTACGTAATTTATAATATTACATTAATACTATACTTGGATAACATTGCTTTTATCAAAAGTAATAATAAAATGAATAGTATAAAGCATAAAGTATATCTTATAAAAGATTCAAGATGAATGAAACAAAATATTTTCTCAATTATTACGTGTGGCGTTAATAAAATAACTGCTATATACATTTATATACTTTGATATATAAATATTAGAGATATAATACGGAACAATACCAAGTTTGAGTGTTTAAATTTCTATAATATAATACAAATTCTATATACAACGCATAATTTATAAATAATTCAAAATCAAGTGAATAATCTCACATATGAAATACATTATTAGTAAAATAGTATTAATCTAAAGAAAAATAGTTGGCAAGTGGCAATAACGTCATTATGTTTTATTCTTATAATTATTGCAGTTTCCATCCAACAAACTGAAGAACGTTGATACGTCACTGTTCAAAGAACTTGACGGTATATAGCTTCTACCATGCTGAGTCATTTGACCTTGTTTCTTCAGAATCTTTTGGCAAACGGTAGTCTGGATTATCTTTCCTTGTTACACTATGGCATTCTTTGTCTGACACGTCACCGAATCCTCGCTCAAGCCCCACCAATGGATTCTTTTATGTCATCGTAACATCGTTCCTTTCTGATGCTACCTACCACTATTTAGTATACGCGACAGATACGTAATCACGTTACGTGCTTTCTAATTACTGTATGTTAAATAGACTTCAATAATTTGTGATTGTGATATAAAAATTGTGTTTTAATCGTACATTGGTGTTGTGAACAGATACCAAAAAATTTAGATAAGATATATAAGGAGAAATATAAGGTACAGTTCCTCTAATCATCGTCACAACAAAAAATTGACGTGAGTAATATTAAATGAAAAATAAATACGTTACACAGTGTGATTAGATTAAGTAATAACAATTCGTGGTATTAATACTGTTTTATAAAATTTGTTTTCAAATTACTGTTTATATTATATACTACAAAAGATTTAAACAGTCTAAATCAATAATACAAAATTGGAAATCCTTCTTGTCAAAAAAATTTGTGTCTAACAAATTGTACATGTGTATAAAATTTATGTGAGTATTGATAAGAAATTAGTCGTATTTTGTTTATAATTAATATAATTATAATATAATTACATATAATTGATAAATTAAATTGTTTTATTTTATATCGAGAGTATCCAACATTAAATTAACTATTCATTTGCTATAACTAATAATAGTAGTAAAATGATCTTTCATCATGTTAACAATATTAAACAAATGTATTTCATATTAAATATGATATAAGAAAAGTGAGTTCGGATAATGAAAATTTGTTTACAATTGTAATGAAAATGTAATATACGTAAATCAAATTATTAATATTACGTATTGTGAATTTTTTATTTTGTACTGTACCTATAGCAAAAAACAGAAAATATTAGTTTATATGAAAATTACACGGGAAGATTATTAATATTTTATAATTTTTATAATACAACAATAATTTCTTTGATTACATAATAAATTTTCAAATTTATACATTAAAAATATGAAAGTATAAAAGATGAAGACTGTTGGATAAAATAGGACTATCAAAATTAGTGATATATTCTTGACAAAATCAATAAGTATGTTCTATATATTCATATATGAGAGCGTTTTTCTTTTTTATTATTTCTTTTTTTGTACACTGGAGATAGAAATCCAATTATGTCATTGATATTTTTAACAAAGTATTTGATAAGTAATATTTATAGATAGATCTGACTTCAGTAAACGCTTTACGCTATTACAAATACTTTAAAAGTTCTGAAAACATTATAAATTTTCATATACATCTTTTATTAATTGTAGATTATTACAAATTTGTAGATTGTAAATATACATTACTACGAATGAACAATGTTACATGTCATTAACAAAAGAAAAAAAATCTATGCTATAAGTAATTATTATTTGCAATAAATTATATTTACATATTATCGTTCAATGTCTGACACATCAAATTTTCGTATGAATTGCACATTAAGTTATTAAACCTTACTTCCTGCAGTATTCGCGTACGTTCTCCGGTTTGTAACTCCCACCATTCCTGCAAAGAATATCTGTAACGAGCGGCAGTTTGTTTCAGTTGGTTACTAGAACCGAACAGAACTGGTACTACTACGCCAGAAGAAACGAATAGGATCTGTAGCCGCTTTAAGAGAAGGTAGGAGCCACACCCTGAATACTTATTTCTAGACACCGATCAATAGTCTTTGGAATTTCGCTATAATAGCGTCTTAGGATTATTCTTTGCGTATACTTTAAATGAGATTAACTGCTAAATTCCACAGATATTTATATAAATCACTGAGGTCATCATTCATCTTGTGATCTCAGAGTGATGTAAGAATAAGTCCCTAGACCGAAAAAGATGTGTATATATGCATAATTAGAGAAAAATGGTTTTTTGGATTTTCAATGAATAAGAATTAACAAATACGTTCCGTTATCGATAATGTCGAATATTTTCATTTTATTTGAAATTAATTAAGTAAATTTTATTACGAAACAATGCATTGTGTATTATGCCATAAATGCGGTGGTTAATATAGTTCTTTTTTTTTATTTCAAGTGTCAGAATTGTAATATTTAGATTATGAAGAGTTTAATGATCTCAAAATGATAAAAATACATCTAATGTACTATATTTTTATATTTTCAGAAGAACATTTTTTAAATATGTGTATATTATATTTTATTAAGTTCTTATGTTCTAAGCATTTAAAGGATGCTGTTCTGATACTCTAGCATATACTATAGTACATGTATCTATTGAAATGAATCTTGTTCAATTACTGTTGCTATGACACATGTTGTAGAGTAATATTTACACTTTTTCTAGGAACTCAAGCAACTAATTTATATTTATCTGACGTTTCTAGATGATTCATACAATTGTACATGTACTATTTAATAATGTGAATGGAGAGTATTCTTAAAATAGACCATGTCAAAATTGTAGAAGAATTCTATTTAAGCACAATAGACACGTAGAGATTTATTACTTTGTTATAGATACCGTGTTATTAGTAAATACATAATAATTAATAATAAATACATACAATAATTTTTATAATATCACATATTTTGAGGTTCTATGTAATAAGAATGATAATTAATTTTTAGTTCATCGTATTTATCACCGAAAAATTAGTTAAAAGATACAGTACAGACACTCAATGTTTTGCTTTATTTTTAATTTTTAAATGATTACATAATCTCCTAATATTATTTATTTATTATATGAATTTAGATCCAAATTTTTTTAACTCTTAGTTTAATGTGTTTTATGACTATTAGTTATGTCTTAAACATTAAACTATTTAGATTTTGTTATATTCTTACCATGTGTTAAAAAATACATAAAAATTATATTTTTTTTTAATAATTATATATTCTAATAATAAATTTTAATAAAATTTGTATGAAAATAAAATTTGGTAGTAAATTTAATTTAAATTTATCTGTTACAGCTAATTTGAACAATGTCGGCCAGTCAGTACTACCATGTGCAGGTAATTATTAAAAACTTCTTATTTAGTATATATACATAGTATAGAGGTTCGAGGTCTGATTAAAAATTAATTTGTACAATTATCACGGTATTTAAAATGAAAATGACAGGTGAACCGTAAGATTAATTTCTTTATTTTATTTTTATTTTAGTTTTTAATTATTCCCTAAAGTAAAATGAATTTGGATCAAGCTTTTTTAAAAATATTTCAAAGATCTATATGGTGAAGATGCTATAATTGAAACTATCAACAAACAATAATTTTTAACACCACCTTGCATTATTAACACTAGACTTACTAATTTATAATATGCAACTAAATACATCATACACAAATAATAATAATTAAAATAGTATAATGAAAATAAATAGGTACACATACATTTTTATTTGAATACAAATCAATATTAATCAAAATCAAACACTTTGATTAGCTTGGCAATTTTACTGTTATACAAAATATATTTGTTATTCAGCAAAATTTTATTATCAAATATAGAAATGCATGTATTACTTTTCAAAAATGAAATTTGTTCATACAGTCCTTAGAGTATTAGTTTATTAAAAAGAAAGTAATAATTTCAGTTTGTGAGCTTGTTTTTTATTAACATCCAATAAAGTATACTCAGAGTCTACGAGATTTTGCATTTGAAAATCTTTTATTTAAGAGCTTCTTCTTCACTTTCTGAATTTGTTTCTAAATAGAAGACCCGTGCAAAAATCGATCACAATCATAACTACAGTTATTGCCCGCATAAGCGCCCGGATTTCTTGCCCACTTTAACATCCGTCGTTACCCCCATCAATTCTTAGAACAGGGTTCACCAAATATCGTCGATACGAATTCGTCACGGATGCGTATATATACGTATGCTTGCATTGAATATTAGTACACCCAACTATATAGCATAGTATTCTTACAACACGGTACTTTTATAGCATGGTGAACTCGGTTTTAACCCTTTGCACTCGGCAATCTTTTCGTTACAGGAACATAATAATTCGAAAACTTTCTGCCATAAAGTCGACGATATTTTCAAAACGGTAAATAACAAGTGCAAATTAATAATAATACGTAGAATTATTTTACCCCGATATTCCACGCGTCGTTGGGCAATTTTAAATCCGAGATATTAATTAACAACGATCTTTAGAATCCGATTAAATGGCGACTGAGCGTCGTCTCTCGAATGCAAAGGGTTAATATAAAGCGTTGTAAAAATTGCGAAAGTTCTCTTATTACACAATATTCTTATAAGAGGGTTTGATAAACTTTGGACAATATACTATAACAAAACTATAGGACGAATGTTTCACTGTCTTTGCTTTTATATCAGTTCTAAACTTCGTTTAACACGGTTTTGATACAATTCGAAACAATTTCACTGTGTTATAACAGGGTTGAATGTGTTTCTCACACACCTACTCTTTTCCCTTGTATCAGTCGAATTCTCAGAAGTTATTTATTCGGATAAAGATCTAGAAATGATCTCAAACTGTGAATGTTAGAATGAGCTCTACTGTAGGTTCAATAATCACCATATGATTCACTCGAGTCTAGGTAATAGATGATCATATAATTTTTAACAGAAAAAGATTTATGCATTGCTTTATTATGCCACGTAATATTTTTAGCATTAAAGCAGTTACTTATACACCTTCTTACATTAATTACAACAGTTTTTTTTTTGTAATCAGAGAGTTGATGACCAGAATTTGTTTTTCCTTCTTAAAACTATGATTTACGAATTAAATCGGCGTGGTTCGGAATTTTATCCTTATAAAATTATAAAAGCCAGTTTTGCGCGTGATACTGAATGCCGGCCAGAACCAGTTATTTTCTCCTGTACTTGAAATTTACGAAGATGTGCCACTTTCGGTCTTGGGTGAGAGTACGACACAAAATGAACGATCCCTGAACTGGATAAGGTAGGGTCCAGCGAATAAAGGAACTGATTTTTATTTCCTTTAGTCGAATATAGGATTCTCACTTCCAATTTTTACGATTTATTCTTGACAATTTATTTATTCTCGATAATTATTCCTCGATTACGATTATTTCCATTGACCAATTCGTGAGTTCTTCGAAAACATTAATTGGATTCGAGTATTTAGCCTGTTTCTATTGAAGACGGACAATTATGTTGCAGGTGCAGTTGTACTTAAGACAGAATCGTGCTTCCTCAAGCGTGAAATTGACTTTTGGTTAATTATTGTCGATGTTTGTTATATCTTTGAACGATTATATTTTTAATGCTTTTAATTTAACATCTATTTCCATATTTATATCGTATTTTTTCTAACGGGAGCTTATAATTGAAATTTCAATTATATCGTTTCTTTTAGATCCATTTTATTTTTTTTTAATATTTCCAAAAATAAATACTGTTATGGAACATTGCTATTGAATTTTCCCTTTAAGGTCTACATTTTGTTAAAATTTGATTAAATTTTATTTTTCTTAAATATTTCCAAAAATAAATACCATTATGGAACATTGCTATTAAACTTTCCCTTTTAAGGTTTACATTTTGTTAAAATTTGATTAATTACTCTTAAAAGTATACTCTTAAATATGCTTTTAAAAATTGGGATAGAAAGCACGAAGCAGCGCAACAAGTCACGCCACTTTACCGGTGTAAGATGCATAGGCGTAACCCACTAGTCACGCTACTTGTCAGCAGCCCAACTTATGACCTTCATTCGGATTAATGTTGCGTGTTAAATATTATCGTCTCCTGATACTGAAATTAAGCATTCGGAGTGATGAGTTACACCAAACCCGAATGAACGTTTTAAGTCTCGTGGTATACGATAGCAGGCATACATGTGTGTCTAATAAACATACATGTAATAAAGTATACATATACAGAATATAAGCTAATACACATGAATCAAGAAAGGAGTAATTATACATGAAAACATCAGAAGAAAATTAAATTAAAACTTTTTTAATATGAGCTTATGTTTTCAGGAATGTACACTTGACTGTGTCTAAACTTAATGAATCTTGATATAAACTGCTACCACGAATCAGGTTTCTCTGTATTGTATTGACTATTCAAGGATACGTTATAAAATAGAATATTTATGCACAATGAATTTTATTATTTTATAAAAATATTGTTCATTCCGCTAAATACATGATTCTTCCTCGAGTTTAATTTTTTAAATGCTAAACCAAGTAGTTAAATGTACATAGATTGGGGGAATACCCATAAAGTCGATTTTCTCGAAAATAAAACCTTATATATAAAAATGTCATTCTCTATTTTCCTCTCATTTTTCATCTAGACTAATTTTCTGTTTAGTTGTACTGTCAGTTAAGGTACACCTTACATAGTTTATAGATTAATAAATGTAATCTTAGAAAATATTCCAATTATTTTTTTCATTTTTGATTTTGGTTAAATGGGTTTTCATCTATGATTCCGAAACATGTTATGCACGATTAGACACATTTGGACACTAATTTTCATATTATATAAAAAGATTAAAGATTACCTCCATTTCTTTGTTTAAATTGCACATATGAAAAGTTTATATACATATATTATGCAAGTATTATATACTTTAAAATATTTTGTAAGGTAAATTCTGTTTAGCAATAACACGAACACCTTATACAAAAAGCTAACACGTGTATATATATTTCTTATTTTATTTGTTTAGTGCACACCAACGATTTATCCTGCTGACCCTTTCAATCCAGAAGAAGACGCATCTCTTCTTCGAACAGCGATGAAGGGCTTTGGCACCGATGAACAGACGATAATCGACGTCCTTGCTCATCGTGGGATCGTCCAGCGGCTTGAGATAGCTGATAAATTTAAAACTATGTACGGGAAGGATCTCATTTCTGAATTAAAATCAGAACTTGGTGGCAACTTTGAGAAGGCAATTTTGGCGCTAATGACACCGTTACCGGAATTCTATGCTAAAGAACTTCATAATGCAATTTCCGGCATGGGTACAGATGAAGGTGCTCTTATCGAGGTGCTAGCTTCTCTTAGTAATTACGGCATCAAGACGATATCCGCCGTCTATAAAGAATGTAAGTCTCTCTGAATGATTCTTCAGATAAGTGCTATCCATGACTGGTAAATTGGCAATTGGGACGAAACATGGATAATAAAGGACTATCTAACATACTTTTAGACTGCTGATAACATATTTTGACATAGTAATGAGATCAAAACGTATTTTTTATTTTATGTTAAATATTAGACTGGCCAGAGAGTAATGTCAGTATTTTTCGCATAAAATAGTAATCAAAATCTTAAATCAAAAAGATTTTTATTGGATAGTATATTGATCATTTTGATTCGTGAAATTCCAATTGTATCAGTGTTAGGAAAGTGCAGTATATAAGTATAATATAGTAATAGTAAAGTGCTTGCGTTAACAAAGTTAATGCATTATTAAATAGCCTCTAAGAATGTGAATGAACCTAGTGCTTTATCAGATAGTTGTAGTAAGACAAAACGTTGTGAATGAATTTGATCTAAAATCAAAGGGTCACTGGTAATGCCAACTAAGCTTTATTTATCTAAAAAGTTAAAATGAATCACGTAGCAAAGTCGTATCACATGAGAACGTTTAATCATAATACGGGGGTTACCGGATGAAGTGATTAGACTCCCAGAGGGATCAATTTTATCTTATCAGCCAATGATTTAAGTACTCAATCTTGGATTGTAGGTGCATTAATAAATATTGGCTGTTTCTCAACACTAGAATTAATATTTATTCATAAAAATAACATAATATACAAGGTGCCCAAAAAAAAAA